GAAACATACCTTGAGCTCCTCAACGCTAGGTACCTCGTCGCTCTTGCTGTACAGGTCGTAGGGGTTGAAGGCGCGGACGGCGTCGAGCATGGCGTGGTCCTTGTCGCACATGAGGGCCGTGTAGGCGCCCTCCTTGTGCCAGGGGTAGAAGGAGTGGTAGCGGATCATGGCGAGGGCCTCGGCGGGCAGGGTGCTCTGGTCGCGCACGACGTGGTACAGGTACTCGTCGTGGCCCCAGCTCAGCATGACGTTGTCCATGCCGCAGCCGGGCTCGTAGATGCCGAACTCGGTCCCGTACACGGGGTGTCCGTAGTCCGGGTTGGCGCCAAAGGTGTCCGGGTAGATGATGCGGCGGTCAAAGGCGCAGCCGACGGGGAAGGTGTCGCCGACCACGTCCCACTGGCCCTCGGCGCCGTCGAAGAAGAGGAGCTTGCCGAGGTCGTGGATGAGGCCCGTGAGCTGCATCCAGCGCGGCTTACCGTCGCGCCGGATCGCCTCGGCCGACTGGAGCAGGTGCTGGATCTGCGAGAGCGACGTGTCCGGGTCCGACTCGTCGATGAGCGTGTTGAGCTTCTCCATGGCCTCCCAGACCGTCATCTCCATGCGCTTCCGCGACGCTGAGGCGAAGTGTGCCCGGGCCTTGAGGTTGTAGGCCACCGTCTGCTTCTCGTGCTGCTCGCGGTAGAAGTTCTTGACGCGGTCGCACGCCTCCTCGTACTGCCGGAACTGGCCCTTGTCCTTTGCCGAGTCAAACCGGGACTCGCTGTCGAAGGCCTCATCCTGCTGGGCCTGTGGTGCTGGTGCTGGTGCTTTGTTGCTCTTGAGCACGTTGACGGCGTCGATCCTGTCCGACATGTCCTCGAGCGCCTGCCCGCTCTTTTTGACGTCGACGACGATAGAGTCCTCGTAGATTGCTGACGGTGCCATTGTGTATGTGGTGGGTGTGTGATGTACAAGTCTAAAGGAAGTGGTCCGGTCTATACGACGGACTGGAGAAAGGGAAGGGTGATGAGGACGGGAGTTGATGGCTTTGGCAGAGATCAATGCAGCCCAAGCAAAGGATGAGGTATTATATATGTATGTAGATGTGCACTGATCCCGTGTCCGATAGGGCCCAGTCACTCCCGGACCGCGTTCCGTGGTCAAGACGTGTCAAAATGTTGGGAAACGGTGCTCTCGAGGGTTGCTGCAGACGGAGCGAGATACTGAGGTTGCAGTGACACCTCGTCACCCCCCTTCCGTCTCGTACCCGGGAAGCCATACTTATATTGCACCCCGACGGCCGATCGAGAGGGGGGGGCAGGCGCAAGCCAAGGACACGGAGGAGGTAGATAAAAAAAAAAATGGGGAGAGGCGGCAGGCAAAAATTAGACTTGAGACTGGGTAAAAACACACGAGCCGAGGGGAACCAAGGTGGGAACAAGATTGGGACGGCGGAGCAGGCGAGAGTAACAGGAAAGAAGGGATGGACGTCACGAAAGGGGAAAAGACGGGAGGAAAAACGGACGAGGTCCAGTTTTTGCGCATGCGCCTGACCAGTCTCGCCCTGCCTCGAGGTGACCAGACGAGGTTCTTTGTGCATGGGCCGTTTTTTTTTCTTCAATTCTTTTTTGTTCTTAACCGACCAAAAGAGCACAAGTAACGGGAGCCAATCAAACGGGAGGCAAAGCAGAGCACCAAGGATGCAGCAGGTTGAAAAACAGCAGCAACAGACCGAGAAGAGTCTAGCCAAGGATCTCTGCCTCGCCGTTTGCAGCCGAATCCGGATGGCCGGCGAGGGGCGGCAACGTCAGAGGGGGCGAACCAGGGTTCGGTCGTTGGCCAGGAACGCCGGACAAGGTAAAAACCAGCGATGAGGGCGGAGCCGGCGACCCGCCCGGGGGAGGAGGCGTCATCCATGACCGTGCCTCATTTTTTTGTGTTTGTACTGTTTTCTCACAAGGTCGAGGCCTGGAAAAAAGGAATAAGACTCATAAAACAAGATAAAAAGGTCGGTCGGTCTGGAAATGGTTAAAATGTCCGGACACAAGAATTCAAAGAAAATAAGGGCCCCCTGGTCAATGATTCAATCATCTGAACATGAGTTCAAAATGGATCCTAGCCCCATCCACGGCTTCCGTCGGAGACGGGGGCTAGGTCGCGTAGGGGGGGGGGCAGGGCAACTTTGGGGAGGAGGAAAGGTGGGATGTGTGTGCTGTTGCTGTTGCTTGTTGCTGCTGCGACTTGCCCGCCTGCTGCAGGTAGGGTCCGGCCCGGTCACCCCGAGGAGGGTAAGGCGCGGGCGCCCGTGTGTACCTTCCATTGATGGATGGTGGTGGGTGGTGGTTGCCCAACGCCATGCACCGGAAACCCCAAGGACGGAACACACACACAGCCCTAAGGAAAAATAAAAAGATGACTGCAGCGTAGACGACGGCCGAACCCGGTCGGTCGCCCGCGCGCCGTCGAATGAAGGAAAGCAAGGTCCTTTAGTCACGGCTGTTTGCAGGGCTATTGGGCAGCCTCCATCCCAAGGGCGCCACCTCCTAGCGGTGCATCGGTAGTGCCCCTGACCCCCCCACGGGCGCCCAGGCCCTGCAACCAGCCCGATTGGGAGGGTGCATATGGCGGCGGCTGAAGGCGGCGCTCACTGGCGGGCTGCCGGCATTCTCTCGGTCTAGGTTGGCCTTCTCCCCGCACATGCAAGGGCATCCATTGCAACACGTGCTTACCGTATGTGGGTAGGCCCAAAACTAGGTACCCAGACAGGAACCGGCGTGTCCATGCGGAAAGAAAGTTGACTGTTGCTAGCCACCCGTTTTCTGTCCTCTTCTGCTGCTAGGCTCGGGCTGATTTACTTAGCGCGCCTGGTATCTCCTTCCGTCACTCCTGCGTTGTACCTGATCCCATGTATTTCCCGCTCTTCGCGCCCATGGCGGTACCCTTTTGCCTGCCCAGCCAGACAGGCCCACGCCGCACGCCCTTGTCCGTCCCGTGAGCCTAGCACGTGGGCCGACAAGAGTCGTGGAGACAGGGATCTGGGGTTGGGAACGCAATGGGATCGAATAATTCACGGGAAAATAACACACAAGTGGGCATCAAAAGCCCTCGAGCAGAGCCTGTCTGCGCTTTACCAAGACAGCAGCAAATAGCATTAATAGTAATACTAACCATCATGACAATCAGCAAAACACTGCGTCCCGTTAGTCCGCTCCGTCCTCCAGCCACCCCCACGACCTCATCATTTGCCGCTGCACCGACTCGGTTGGCCTCGCGTGTTCACGCTCCGTCAACCTCAGCATGTCGATAAACGCCTGCTGGTCCCGCGTTGTCTCGAAGCGATCGCCGACTGTTTGAGAGATAGAGGAGACGGGGAAAAGGCCCCAAGACCAGTTTAGCCGTCCAAATTATCCATACGTCTGCTCCAACGACGAATACGGAAAAATAGCGCACGCCGTTGTAGATAAAAGGAGGACGAGGACGAGGACAAGACTTACATGCTGCAACCCCCATACACGCGGTGAAGAGCGCAGGTGGAGACCATTTGTTCCCCAACCCAATCCCGCAGAGCTTTCTCAACAGACCCTGGACGCGATTCTGGATGCCGTGACGTGGCAGCAGCGGCAGCAGCAGTGCCGGAGCGCCCCCCCTCAGTTAGAAACTTTGATCATGCATGTGCGCAAATCCGAGTCCGCCCGGATTTTTCTTGGCTTGTTTCTTCTCCTGCCTCCCGCCCCGTTGCTCTTTTGCTTCTTTTATCTCCCATGACGCATGCCGGGCAAAACCCCTCGGCCGCTGGTTGGCGCGGCTAGCGGGTGAATGCCCTTACATGAAGATAAGGGAACCAGCAGTATCTCCGAGGAGGGGTATCATGTAGGCAGGCACGTCGAGGTGACATTACTTACATTGGCTCTATGCGACGCCAGCTTTCTTTGAGCCCCGACCCTCGGGATGCTGGGATCGAATATTGTGAGGAAAAGCTCGGCGAGGATGTTGTGCTGCACGCCGATAACTGGAGAGACGTAAAAGTTGGCGGCAATTCCATCAACGAGTCAAAACGGCAAAAATGAGCGACGGGGTGGCCAAGGGACATACTCTGACACGAGGTCTGGTACCATATCTCAGGAAAGGGAGTGTCCTTGTCCTCCTGGCCCTCGTATACAGGGTCGTATGAGCCAGGTAGCACGTTCCGCCAGCTGTTTCCCCAGTCGCGCAGCTCAGCCCATCGCCGAGCGACGCTATGCGCGGGCATCGCCGTGGCGCCCGCGGCTTCATCATCTCTGAAGCAGAAGTTGAGCACGTCGGCGCAGTGCGTTATGGCCCTGTTGGCCCATACATGGTCCTCGGCGGGTCCGGCCAGCGAGCGGTCCACGATGGGTAGCGACAGGTTCATGCGGACGGGCTGGTGGTTCATGACGGCGCTATAAATTTCCTGGCGCAGCCCGATCCAGAAAGAGGCGGCGCTGAGGGTCCGCGGCGCGATATCTTGGCGGTTGTCCCCGGCCACGAAGGCGTGGATACCCAGCAGGTGACCGCGCGCGTCCATACCTGAGTTGCGCACCTCCATCTCCTCGAGAACACGCAGGATGATAGTTGCCGCGAAGAGATTCTCGTCCGATACGGTGCCCGCGTGCTTGAGCGTCGGGATCAGCGTCTGCAGGCACATCTGGTGGTACCGGTTGGACGCCAGATCGTCGAAGTTTGGTGTCGTGTGGCTGAGGTGCCTCGACGACAAGGCGAAGATGGCATGGAGCAGGGTTGGGCATGTTCCCGCCCGCTGTGGGACCACCGTTTGGAACGACGTTGAGGGGTCACAGAGATCGAGCTGGGGGTCGGTGTTGCTTAGCCCAAGATAACTGCATGACCAGACATGGCATTCGACGAGAAACACCCGAGGTGGACCTACCCATGTGGCCAGATTTTGCACAAAATGCCGAAACAAAAACGCTTCTTCGCGCCCCAATGGCCAGACCGGCCGCTCCAGGTAGAGTATGGGAGGACGCCGGTCCGCTTCGTCGGGAAATAGATAGCTGATCCCGTGGCGACTTTCTTGGCTCACTGGACGATGCCGTCTCTGAGCCCCGTCTTGTTCCTCATGCACGATGAACCTATCAGTCGGCGATCCTGGAACAGGTCGGTGGCGGCTTGACGGCGTCGCCTGAGCAGGCGACCTATCCTCGAGAGTGACCGACGAGACCCCTGCGATGGATGCCGTGGTGGGGGTCGGTTCACTGAGCACATGATCGTCGTCGTTGCAATCGTTGTCATTGTTGAGCCCCTGCTGGTCAGGCTCCCATGGCCGATAAGTCCCACCTTGGCCCGTATATGGCTCATAGTTACGGGCGGTAGCCTCAGTCTCATCAACATAAGTGACTGGCAGGAAAGGATTAGCATAAAGGGCCTCTATGTGGCCAAAGAAAGTAGCGGCCGAGCTGCTGGCGAAGTCGCCTTCAATTCCGCCGGACAAGACATGGAACTGGACGCACTCTGCGTGGGGTAGCGAAGCCATGTCTGGTGTCGAGAGAAGGAACCTAGGACCACGTCAGTGAAGTCCATTGAGCTGTGGCGGCCGAGGCAGAGAATCTCGACCACCAGACGCCCTAGGACAGGTGAGGGGAAGCAAGACAGCAGACTTACCTCCCAGAGCCTTGAACTTGAAGCCTCGCCGACATTGCCGGCCCGCGGATGAGCACCGTCCACAAACGGGAGTTGCTCTATCGCCTGTGGGATTTGTGCGACCAGCCAAGGGTTAATACGACCGTGTCGCGACAGGTAGAGGCCCCTTGGCATGGCATTGGTAGGAAATGTGACAGGTCAGGCCGGGATGGGCGGCTGGCTGGGCACGTCCGTGCTCGTGCGACTCACACTTCAAGTGCTGCTCACGGCAGTTTTGACTGCAAGCGGGAACCAACGGCGACGATCAGCTTCACGGGCCAGGCTGGTGCGTTTTAGTGTCGGGCCTCCCCGGCAAGGGGTAGGGCGGCGGGGGCGCATCAGACGGGACGGCAGCATCAGGAGGAGCACGCACCATCCCGGGGCAGCCACCTGGGGCTTGGGGGTAGGATGGGGGCTTGCCGGAGGAGGAGCCGGGTGGTTCGCAAGCCGGTCGGGCCCGGTCAGGGGCATTTGCCCGTTAGGGGGGAAGGGGACGGGCGGAGGGGGCTGTCTCTTGGGCCAGCAGCCGAAGTCCAGCCAGCGACACCAACGACGCCAACGACGTGGGTGCAGCAGAAGCAGGACGCGCGACTCGCGGGAACAGGGTCATGGAGCTGGCCAGAACCGGTCACCGTCTCCGGAGCAGAGTTTGCTGAGTTCTGGAAACGGCGAGAATTTCCAGAGGGGCCTGGGGTGTGTGGGCGGGCGCTGGTGGGGATTTCGGACGAGGGGGGTGTTGGAAATGGGACCCGTGGGCCACGCGGAGCGAAGAAGAAATAACGACGAGAGGAGCGGGCTCGTGAGCGCGGAGAATACGGACGCTTCGGGTTATCAAGAGGCCAAGAAACCCGGGGAGAGGGCAGGGGCAGGGGGCGTTTAGCCGAGCAGGGTGGCTGCTGGTGGCCTCGGCAGGTACTACCACCTACCTATGTGCCCAAGGTATAGGCAGGCAGCGTGTTTCCTATCCTGTTGGTTTCCTATCCTGCTATCCAAGTTGAGTTTCCATTGAGCCCGACCGAGCCGAGAGAGCACAGGATGGAGCAAACCTGTTGGACCTGGCAGAGTCAAGTGCCAGGGGTGGAGCCAGGCAGCCTGCAAACGATTGATGGGATGGCACCTGGCGCGGGATGCCAAATTTGATCCGACCGCCTCACTGACTGGCTGGCAGTGAGCAAGCTTCAGAGCGAACTTCAAAGTCTGGACCCCAACAAGGCAAAATGCGACGAACGAGACCCCCACCTGAGCCAACACGAGAGCGGCACAGGAGACGACAGCTGATATGAGGAAGGAACAAGGTGCGTCCAGCGTGCACCAACTTGGAAGGCACGGCATACATACGAGCAATAAAGCAGCATGGATGTCCTCCTGCTGCCGCCATCCATGACGGCGTCGCACACTCGCCGGAACCATGCATCCATCTGACGGAATACAGAGCGTGCGATGCTCGTGCCGTATCGCAGCGCAGTCTAATTGCTGCAACCCAGCGTGAAGCAGCGCATTGTCGTGTCAGGTTGGTGCCTTCCAACATCCTGCCTGACGTTCTTTTTTTCTTCTTTTTTTTCTCTCTTTCGCTTCTTGGTCAAGCAACCGCCTCCCAACAGCCCCAGTACCACACCAGCCAGCCCCTTTGCTTTCTCTTGCGTCTTCAACCACAGCTAGCCGACACGAGGGAGGACGGGCAAGGACCTGGTTGGTCACCTGTCACGCCTGGTTGGGGCCTTTTCCATTCTCGGCCGCGTGCATTCGGCTATCCGCAGCGTTGCTGCTGGTTCTTATTTTCACCGTCGCAGTCTGTAGCCGATCAGTTCTTCGTCTCGCTCGTCTGCGCCGCCGAGCCCAAGTCCCGACGGGTGACGAGCTTCCTGACGGGACGAGCCCAGAGCTTGTGCAAGGTTCCTGGTTCCCCGCCGCCATGACTCGCCGACCCGACCTGTGCCTGGGGTGCTCCATCATGAATGCTTCATTCCGCTCGAGCCCAGGGCAATGATGGCGGGGAAATTGGAGGCTGACATTGCCGCTGCTCTAGCTGCTTCTGCGGGCAAAGAATTGAGGGGAAGGGCCATCGGCCACATTGGCCACACACGCACACCCTCAACGCTGTCCTGCGCGCTGGACGTTGCGACGCTGCAGTCAGAGGTTGACCCAGCCAGTCATGTGGCAGCGAGGTTATCGCATTCGATGCTGGTTGGTCGGCGCTGGCCTTCAATTGTGAAGGGATTTGCATGGCGCTGCAGCTGGGATCCTTGGAGGGCTCGATCCTTGAGAGCTCAATCCTTGTCAGTATATCCAGCAGGCACAGACACTGGTTTGTGTCCAAAATATGCTGCCAACACCACACAACAGCACAAACACATACCGCACATGCACAGTATCCAATGCCACCGACGGCGACTGTGGCGCTCCAAGGACATTCCGGCCTGGAGGAGCCATCGACGCTCCCCACCTATCCCACACCGTCCACCACTGCAACCCTGCCGCGTCCTTGATTCGCGACCACATTATTGGCCAGTTCGGCCCAAGATTACGATGGGGCCTTTGAATCTTCTAGATCCGGTCCCCTCCGCAGCGGCCGATCACGCTGTTGACCACCGTTCGCGTTTGCCGTGAGCGCCGGCATACATAAACCCCGTCAATCTGTCGTACCGCCGCATCACAGCCCTTGGTCTGAGGAACGACAAGGCCGTTGCTCTCGTGCTTCCTATCGCCGCGCCAGTCTTCGCCAGAGCCCACTCACCAGCACAATGGCGGACGAAAAAATCAGCCCCAACGCCGGGGCGCCCGCCGCCGATGCCAAGATCGACTACTACGGCCCCAAGTTGGGGCGAAGGGGCGATGCCGACCCGATCGAGGACGAAAAGGCCCAAGACAGGATCATTAGCTACGCCAAGATCGCCACAGAGAAGGAGCGCTCCATGACCTTGATGCAGGGCATTCGCCTGTATCCCAAGGCCATCGCCTGGAGCATGCTGATCAGCGCCTGTATCATCATGGTATGTTGATACCCTGGCCATGGCCGCTCCATGTCCCGCAACTTGACGGCTGACATGACGGCGGCTACAGGAAGGATACGACGTCTGCTTGATCAATAACTTCTGTAGGTCCACCACGCATCTGAAGTCTGACCTCCTGTGCTCTGCGGGGATCATGCGCCCAAAGGTAGCATCGCATAGCTACAGCTCAGCTAAAGCTGGGCAGGATCGGTGATGGCAGGGTTGCTGGTCACATGAATCCAACGCAGTGCTGACATGGACGTGTCTGTTGGTTGTCAGATGCCTTCCCGCAGTTCAAACGCAAGTACGGCGAGCAGCTGCCCAACGGCGAATGGGAGATTCCGGCTCAATGGCAGGCTGGTCTGAGTAATGTGAGCCGGCAACATACCTTACCAAGGGAGATCGGGCCGGCTGACTATGAACGCTCCAGGGTGCCAACGTTGGAGAGCTGATAGGCCTCCTGCTCAACGGCTGGTTCTCAGAAAGGTTTGGGTATCGGTGGACCGTCATTGGCTGCCTGGTTCTCATCATCGCCTGGACCGCCATCTTCTTCACGGCGCAAAATGTTCAGATGCTTCTTGCCGCCGAGATTCTGTGCGGTATCGTAAGTCCTTTGAAAGGCCAAGCACCCGAATTTCCACTGGCATGCTTGATGCTCATAGACTAACCTTGTCCTATTTTGTCTCTTTTTTTATTAGCCATGGGGTGTTTTTCAAACATGTGAGTCCGCCAATCCAGCAAAAACGCTCTAAAAGACTGGGATCATGCTAACTCGACGCCAAGTGTGCATCACATATGCCTCCGAGGTGTGCCCGGTAGCTATGCGTGGCTACTTGACTACTTACGTCAACTTCTGCTGGGGCGCCGGTCAGGAGATTGGTATCGGAGTGTTGATGTCGATGCTGAAGCGAGACGACGAGGTAAGTCTGCGTCACATGATTGCCTTGACACCAGGCTCAGTTGCTGCTACCGATAGCACTTGAGGCACTAACGATAGTATCACCCTGCTCTAGTGGTCGTACCGAATCCCATACGCTCTGCAGTGGATGTGGCCTGTGCCCCTGATTGTCGGCATTTACTTTGCCCCTGAGTCGCCTTGGTGGCTGGTGCGGCACAATAAGATTGACGAGGCCAAAAAATCGCTGCTGCGGCTGACGAGCCTCAACAAGGAGACGGGTTTTGATGCCGACGAGACCATCGCCATGATGGTGCATACCACGGCGCTGGAGGAGAGGGTGAGTGCATCGGATCCAGGAGCACGAAACGAGTGTGGACTGACGGTTTCTGTTGGAAAGACTACAGCTGGCGCGTCTTACCTCGACTGCTTCAGGGGGCATGATCTCCGCCGAACAGAGGTATGTATCATGCGTGAATCCTAACGCTCGGAAGAAACCTCGTGGGGGCACCTAGATTGCACAAGTTGACGACCCTTTGCTGACATGTGCAACACGACTAGATCGTCTGTATGGTGTGGGCCATCCAGAACCTCAGCGGCAACTCCTTCTCCAACTACTCGACATACTTCCTGACCCAGGCCGGGCTTGACTCTACGGCCGCCTACGGATTCGCACTGGGCCAGTATGGCATGAACATGGTGGGCGTCTTTGGCGCCTGGTTCCTCATGAGTCTGGGCATCGGCCGACGCTCGCTATACCTCTACGGGCTCTGCGTGCTCTGCACTATGCTCATGATCCTCGGGTTTCTGGGCCTGGTCCCCGAGGCGAACCGGCGCGCCGGTTCCATCGCAACCGGCTCAATAATGCTGTGCTGGTCGCTTACGTACCAGCTCACGGTCGGCACGGTCTGCTACTCGCTCGTCTCCGAGATCTCGACCCGTCGCCTGCAGATCAAGACGATTGTGCTCGGCCGCTGCCTCTACATTGTAGTGGGCATTGTCGCCAGTGTCCTGACCCCTTACATGCTGAACCCTGGCAACTGGAACTGGCGGAACTATGCTGGTTTCTTCTGGGTACGTGTGACGTCCCACTGCCCCTTTCCCATGACTATGCCGTATCGCCTTGCTCATTGACTAACATCCTCCCAGGGAGCCGTATGCTTCCTTTGCATTGTCTACACATATTTCCGTGTCCCGGAGCCGTCGGGTCGCAGCTTTGCCGAACTCGACGTTCTCTTCGAGCGCGGCGTTAGTGCTAGGAAGTTTGCCACCACCGAGGTCGACGTGTTCGGCGAGCAGGTCGAGAAGAACTTGATGGACAACTACCAAAAGCAGCTGGGTACTGCCTCCCACGTCGAGACCCCGGGTCGTGGAGTCTGAAGCGATGGAATCGACTCTGCCACCTGCGGGACTGTTGGGAGGGGTTTTTAATATGCTGACGGCTGGTTATGAATCTGGGAAATCCATTGTCTCGATGTGCTGCAAACAGAGCGTCCGCCTGTATCCTGCCCGTAAAGACAGGAGCAACAACGTAAAGAGAAGGATTCCGCACCGAGGTTATGTCAGATAAGAACGAGATATTCCTGCTTGACAAGCGCACCGAGGCTCTATCAGGCGGCAACTACGGTCCACATCAGCAATCTGCAGCCACAATGGCGACGCTGCAAGTATCAATACTATTATTAGCCATCGCGTGCCAACCCGTTGGCTGCCAGTGCGTTCCATTGCAGCCTCATGTATTAAACAACCTACCAGAACATGGGGTCTCTGCAGTGAATACGGCCCTCTTGCATCCCATGGACTTTTGCGGCCGGTCAGTACCCACCTCACGCCCAGCCGCCAAGCCATCGCCACCTTCCCCAACTGTCGCTACCAGGTACCCACCCAGGATCGCTGTCATTGCAATCACAAATAGGCTGAAGGGACTGGTACGCAGGCGCGTCAGCATCGGTGGCAAAAGGGACGGCTAGCCGAAGGCCAATACTAACCCCCGGGTCTTGGCGCCCAGCACGGTCTTGTCTCGACACAGCAGGTGGCCGGCGCGCTCGCTGCGGGGGACCTGGATGGCCAGAAGCGGGGGCGGTCTGGGCTCCTGCCCGCTCGGGAGTGACCTCCGAGCGGTGTCCGGGACGGCACCTGTTGGCTTGCCGGCCCTGGGAATTTGTGACAATGTGGGAGAGCACCCCAGCCAACCTATCGTACCTTGCCATAGCGGCGCGAGATCGAGCCCAATATCACCAAGGAACGAAACCATGATGCTAGCGGGGAGTCAACATCCCCTACATAGCGCCCGCTACCATGGCTGGCTGCGGGGTAAGACTGGACAAGGCGACAGCGGTGGAAAGAGAAGGAAAAAGAAGACGAAGAACACCACCGCCGAGAGGTTGCAACCGCCCACCGCCAAGCGTTCTAAACCTTAGGGCACCATCCATTACGACTCTGCGACCTTCCGGATTCGAAGGCTGCCAAGACTCTCACTAAGCGGTGGTTCCTCCCAGCTACCGCAGCCAATCGGTGGCGACCAAACAGTCAGATTGATCTCCGGCCTGAGTCGGGTCTCGGTCTTGGCTGGAATTTTAAGGCCCGCCGCTATCGTGATGCCTGGGGCATCTTGCTGTCTTTGTTTCTTGCCGGCTCTCATGCAAGGCAGGCAGGTTGGTTGGTCATGATCGGCGGCCGCGGAAGGCTGGGGTGCGCGACGGTGATAGGCAGGTAGGTAAGTAGCACCTAGGCACACGCACCCCTAGCTTATGCGCGCGACTGGGCACACGTCGAGGAGGGCAATATCAAGCATGCATGCAGGTGCGTCCCGCTTTGGAGGCCAATGTCACTTTTTTGCAGCGTGACACACGGCTGGAGAGGAGAGGAGCACCTCTACTGGTGTGAATCGCAACGCGCCCGCCCGCGCGTCTTGGCCCGGGTCGTGTCTCCGGCCACCCATATAAACGAGCGTTTCCGCCCTCTTTTCCGACTCGACGGGCTGTGGCTTCTGGTTTCCCCCTCAAGCCTCTGCGTGCCGCCGTCCTTGCCCGCAAAGCTACCTAGCTACGTTCGCTAGTAGTCGCAGGCCACACTCTCTTGAGCATCACTCTCGTGACCACTTTTCCCGTCCCGGTCGTTAATTCTTAACCGCCACAATGGCCCGCTCCATCCTGTCCCTGGGCGCCTCCCTCTGCCTGCTCGCCTCGGTGGCGATGGGCAAGGAGATGCCGGTGGACGAGGAGATGGCTGCCGAGTTTTACGACTCGGGCGTCATCCACGAGGAGATCATGGCTCACAAGATGGTACGTCAATGCGCCTCGGGGTGTTTTCACAAGTTTGGGAACGTGGGTTTCTAACAAGGCACCGCTTTCTGCAGGAGCTGTGGGACCGCGAAAAGGCAGAGGGGCTCATGGACAGCGAGCGCTACCCGGAGCTCGGCTTCGCGCCCTGCGTCAACGGCTGGGTCGAGGCGATCCCCGGCGACCGCAACAACACGTTCAAGTGCTCGCAGATGGACCTGTACCACTTCCTGAGCCACGGCGCCACGGGCTCGTCGGGCCGCGGCTCGGGCGCGTGGGGCTGGATCGCCGACAACGGGCGCGAGTTCATCGCCATCGGCCAGGAGGACGGCGCCATGTTCGCCGAGATCCTGCCCGAGGGCAAGCTGAAGGTGGTAGCGCGCCTGCCGCAGGTGTCGTCCGTGTCCAACTGGCGCGAGATGAAGAGCTACAAAAACTACATGGTGATCGGGTCCGAGGCGGCCGCGCACGGGATCCAGATTTTTGATATGACGCGCCTGCTCGGCATCGACGTCGAGGCCAACGGCGGGCCTGTCACCTTCCACAAGCTCGACGACCTGGCCGGCTACACGAACGAGATGCCGACGGCGGGCCGCAGCCACAACGTCGTGGTCAACGAGGAGAAGGACTACATGGTGGCCGTGGGCTCGCAGCCGCGCAACGACTCGTGCCGCAGCGGCCTCATCTTCTTCGACATCACCGACGTGTCCAAGCCGGTGCGCCTGGGCTGCGCCGCCGACGATGGCTACGTGCACGACGCGCACTGCCTCGTCTACCGCGGGCCCGACAAGCGCTACGACGGCAAGGATATTTGCTACGGCTATAACGAGGATTCGCTCACCATCTACGACGTCACCAATAAGGCCAACGTGACAAACATCATCTCGCGCACCTCGTACGAGGGCGTCAACTACACGCACCAGGGCTGGGTCACCGACGTCAACAACCAGGAGTTCCTGCTGCTCAACGACGAGCGCGACGAGCGCTTCAAGGCCGGCCCGGCCGCCGACCAGCTCCCCGTCGTCTACATCTGGGACATCCGCGACCTCGAGCACCCCAAGCAGACGGGCATCTACAAGTACGACACGCCCGCCATCGACCACAACCTCTACATCAAGGACGGCATCATGTTCCAGAGCATGTACGGGTCGGGCTACCAGCTGCTCGACGTTTCCTCCGTCGGCCCGGCCGACCCCACGGGCGCGGGAATCTGCCGCGCAGCCTTTATCGACATCTACCCCGAGGACGACAACCTGCCCGGCGGCGGCATGGTCGAATTCGTGGGCAGCTGGTCGTCGTGGGGTTGGTTCCCGTCGGGCTTCCACGTGGTCAACACCATCGAGCGCGGCGTCTTCCTCGTCAAGCCCACGTCGCTCAAGTGCCCGCCCAAGCCGAGCTGCGCGGCCGACAACTGCCTGCGCGCGCTGCGGGCCGAGTCGGTCCAGGGCCGCCTGGCGGCGTCGCAGGAGTTCTGCAAGGGCTACACGCGCAACCTCGTGACCGAGGTGACGGTGCTGCCCGACTACGCCCAGAAGGCCTGCACGGGCGACGCCATCCAGCGGGTGAGCAGCGCCTGCAGCTGCCTGCCCAAGCCGACGCCGCGCCTGTAGGTGGCCGCGGGGACGGGGAAGAGTCAGGATGAAGGGGAGCGTAGATGTAGATATAGAAGATAGACCACGATAATGATGATGCTACATAGTAGTAAATGAAGAAAATAATGAAGCAGCGATATGTCCTGCAGCTGGCCGACTTGAACGGAGACTTTGCGAGTTATTCTATGGCCCCATGATGGGAGCTCAGCCACCCGTGTCAGCTGTGGCGGGCCATGGCCGCGACGATCCCCCGCCGGGGCTAACCAGTGGGTGGCATGCAAGTGCGAACCCAGCCACGTGCAGACGCCATCGGGTATGCTTGTCTTAGACATTTTGGCCCGCGCTCCCGCTAGCATTTGCCCGTCACCGAGAGGGTAGCCTGCTGCACCCGATGATTGGATCGTTTTTGCTGGTCTGGACATTTTGTCCGTTGCGCAAGCGGACAGACAAGCACGTAGAATTACATCTTGGGCTGAGTGGATGGGACGCGAATTGATGTCAGTGCACAAAGCACGTGATCAAAAGGACAACCCCGCGAGCGAAAAGCCGATGGCCTGCCAGGATGCACAGTGAGGTCAGCGCAAGGAAGAAAGAAAAAATACAGCCAGCAATGGACGCAGAAGTCGCGCAATCACGCTCTAACGCAGTGATGTCACGAGAGGAGGACGGGAGGGGCGTACAGTCAATGATGGAAAAGAATAGAAGGCGGGAATCCATGACAGGAGGAAATAGCTGCGGACGGACGGACAGGGGAGCACGTTGCTCTCACATGCTGCATGTCCATCGCGGCTTAGGGGGATTGACTGACCCCACCCGTGACCCCGCGGGGAAGGTGCTTTGCCGGCCAAGGTGAGCTTGTTGGCGATCGGTTTTGTTCAAACTGGCAGGAAAGAAGAGATCTCGGACGGGAAAGATCTAGCAAGGACACCAATAGAGTAAGGAATAAGTATAGAACAAGAACAAAAAAAAAAACACGAAGAATCGAAAAACGGCGCCTCGCCGGCACTTCGTTTGCACCCATGACGCCGTTCCCAGCCCCAGTCACATTCCATAAAGTTCCATCACCAAAACCCCAGCCTCCCCTGCGGCAGATCATCCACGACAGTCAGCATGTGTGATATAGACAGTGCATGATACGTACCACCCCCCGAGCCGGCCACCTTCAAACAAGGCTACCACTGCACTGCATCTTGAGCCGTCCGCCGTTTGTTTGGACAAGCGGTCTTGCCAAATCGCAACCGCCGCCTCGTCTGTTCCTGCTGTGCTGTCGCCCCAAAAACCGCCCGTCGCCCCATCGTCACGCAGGTCCCTGCAACGTGGCGCCGTCCTCTGCGGCTCATCATTTGTGAACCTGATAAGTCCTTTTTTTCTGCTTGCCCAGGAAAAAAAGCCCGCACGCACCCGACCCGAGAGACAGGACTCCGCCTGCGTGTCACCCCACCTGCAGCACACATCCACACACCACGCAGCACCAGACCAGAAAGTGCGCGCTGTTGCCCGCACCGCACCTTCCGACAAGCCTCCAGGTTATCTGCCTCGATTGATCGCAGCCGAGCCCACGCTGCCAAAACAAAAAAGACAACGCACTCGCCCTGCGCCGACAGCTGTCTGGCTTGTCGTCATCCAAACACAGAAGCAACCAAACAAGACCAATACTGCTCGCCCAGCACATCTCGATCTAGATCTACAAAACCGTGCATCTTGCCGATCTTGCTCAAGAGAAGCACCTACCTCGTGGGACAACAAGCTTGATTTCAGCCGGTGTACAGCCTCCTCCTAGCCAAATCAGCAATCATGGCCACCGCCGTCAGCTCTAGTCCAATCCCGCACTCGCCTCCCCGCGCCGGGGAGGTCAAGCGACCAAAGGGTATGTGTGACATGGACCCTCGTCCCGTCTCTTCTCCCTTCTGAGCTCGTGGGTGGTTTGTGTCGCTCGGGCGCCTGCGACCGTGCGATTGGGAGTGGCAAGGCTAATCAAACCCGTCGTCAAACAATGCAGGCATCCTCAAAAACTCGTTCCAGCGCTCGCCGCCCGTCTCGCCCCGCGCCGAGCAGCCGCCCGCCAGCGCCGTGGAGGCGGCGCCCGAGCCGCCCGAGAGCCCGCCCATGACGGACAAGGAGCTCACAATCCACAACACGCAGTACAACGCCGGCCACCGGCGCTCGTCGTCGGCCGCCCGGCCCGGCGCCGCCTCGCGCAGACAGTCGAGCCGGACGCCGTCGCACCAGGGCGAGGGCGACGAGGAGGAGTCCAACATGCGGCTCAAGTGGGACGAGGCCAACCTCTACCTCACGGAGCAGGACCGCACCAGCACCATGAAGATCGACGAGCCCAAGACGCCCTACGCCAAGCATTACGACCCGACCGAGGACCCCAGCGACGACGAGGACGTGGACATGGGCGGCAGCGGCAGCGGCAGCGGCAGCGGCAGCGGCAGCAACGCCGCCAAGCACCGCACCGCCAGCGCGTCGGACGAGATCCCGGGCCTGTCGCTCGGCGAGCCCGAGGAGGCGGTGCCCGACGAGTTCGCGCGCGAGGCGTCGCCCCGCCAGCGGGCCGTGCACGTCGACGAGTCCGGGAGCGGCCACGACAACGACGACGACGAGCTGGCCGGCCTCAGCCCCGAGGAGCGCGAGAAGCACCGCCGCTTCAACCAGCTGCGCAAGAAGCACTACGAGATGAAGGACGTCGCCCAGCTGCTCGGCCATCCCGAGGACCTCGACGACATGGACGAAGAGGACGGGTCGGCTGCCCCACCAGTCCCGCCCGTGCCTAATGGGCGTGCTGCGTGAGAGGTTGTCATGGCATTGTCCTTCCGTTCATGTGATGGCTTTTTTTTCTTTGCTTGTCAAGTTCTTGGTGTTATTCCTATGCAAGCCTTACTGCTGGCATGTGATGGGGGTGGGTCATTGGGGGGGAGGTGGCGTGCCTTTTAGTTTCGAGACTCGGAGTTTATTCATTTTTGGGCCTGTTCTAGTTTTCAACGCATCGCCTGGGCTGTCTAGCCGGGATGGGAGCCGCTGCTGTACGGATTTTGGTAATTCGAGGGAACGGGAGCAGCCAAGGCGTTAGTTTTATTTGCTTATCCTTTCCTTGTTGTCCAACGGGATATCCATCATCACCGCCCCCGTGTTACGGGGAGAAATGACATTTTACCAATTTCGTTACCATGCATCATTTCCTGGCCCGTGTTGTTCCTCGAGGGGTTCATAGCCACTTTGCACGGTATGGACCAGTGCATTTGTAAGTGCCCATGCATTCACGATCAGGTACACGGATTCGACGGATGTTTTGGGAAAACATAGGCTTCGTAGTGTTAACATAACCAAGAAATTGTCTCGTCGCAACAAGCGATTCAATTCACCCCCTCAGACTTGACAGCTCCTCACAACAATCCCTTCCTTGCCAGCTCGACCTTCCTCGCGGCCTCGCCCGCCTTGAACCCCCCGCGGGAGACGCAGATCCGTTGGCCGTCGGCCAGCTCAAACTTGTCTTCGTGGTCGGGGAATGGGCACGGACAGTGGTGGGGGAAGTGAACGCAGGCTGCATGAGATAAACAAATACGGTGGGTGTGTGTGTTAGCATGTGAAAGGGTCCGATGCCGGCCGGACGGGCTGCCACGTCGTCTCTGCAGCCCCAGGGGACCTCGGATCCGACCGGGGGTTAAGGGGGGCCGAGAAGGAAGAAAAGAAAACCGGGGAGACGAACCGAGCGTGTCGGGGCAGAGATAGTTGCTGCACTGGGCCGCGTCGACGTTGCTGCGGTACCAGGCCGAGTCGCTCGGCACGTCCTGCTGCTGCTGCTGCTGGTGGTGCTGGTGTCCGCCTCCGCCGCCTCCTCCTCCTCCGCCGCCGCCGCCGCCCCCGAACATCTGGTCGAAGAAGCCGCCGAACTGCGCGCTGACGGTGCCGACAAGGGTCCAGAGGACGAGGTGCGCGAGCGCGTAGGACCGCATTTTTTTTTTTTTGGTGTGGTTCGTGGCCGTTGCTGGGTGGTGTGTCTAGCTCGTCGGCAAGGGAAAAGGATTCAATGGGAAAATAACGGTTGGCCGGGTGCGTTTTCCTTTGCTGGGGTGTGCTGCGTTGGTTCTAGCGAGGGGGGACGTCTCCCTTGCTGTCGCATCAACTCGCTCCCCAGAATTCGATGATGCTTTGCTGGCCGTTGGCGGCGGGCTTATCGTTATCGCGATTGAGTGACTAAGCAGCAAAACTTCGCCCGCACAGGACCCCCCCTGTCCTTCGTGGGTGAGGCTATTGTCGAGCTCGGTTGCGGGAGAGAAAGGGCCGTGACAAAAGAAAACGGGTTCCCGTCAATTGACGCCGCCGGAAGCACCACGGCGCTATCCCCCGACAAGCGCCAACGACCGACACAGACACGGGGCGACCTGCCCACCCACCAGCCCAACTCCCCCTCCCGATGAGGATAGTACCGCTGCAGCAGGCCCTGAGGGCGACGGTGGCCCCGGGCTGCCTGGCGGCGGCGGCCGGCTTCACATTCGCCAGGGCGCAGAGGAGGCCGGAGCTGCTGGCCAGCAGCAGCGCCGCGGCGGCACCTCTGGGCGTCGGCCAGGCGGGCAAGCTCGTCGAGGGTCGGCGTAACGCGGCCGTCAAGTCGCAGGGCGCGTACAGGATCCCCAACAAGAAGACGATCGCGAAGAAGATGGGCGCCAAGAGGAGCGGTGGTACGTTGCTGCTATTTTTTCTTCCTCACCCGGGCTGCGCGCGGTCGTGGAGGTCAAAGTAAGGTCCGGAAGATTAATCCGAAGCCTCTCCTCCCACCCACCACCAGACCAGTTCGTGATCCCGGGCAACATCATCTACAAGCAGCGCGGCACCATCTGGCACCCGGGCGAGAATACCATCATGGGGCGGGACCACACCATCCACGCCGCCGTGACGGGCTACGTAAAGTACTACAGCGACCCGGCCCGCCATCCGACCCGCCAGTTCATCGGCGTCGCCTTTGGGCGCGACGACACCCTCCCCTACCCGGCCCACGGCGTGCGCCGCCGCCGCCTCGGCATGGTGGCCGTGGCGCGCCGCGAGCCGAGGCAGATACCCGAGCTCAGCCCCAGCGGCTTGCCGACGCGCATCGTGCGCAAGGAGGGCAAGGCGCCCCGCACCGTCGTCGACGACAACGGCAACGTGACGGCGCGCAAGAGGTTCAAGAAGGCGCGCGCGCGCGTGCTGCACGAGATCGCCATCCGCCGCGACAACCGCGTGCTGCTGCTGCAGAAGGACTACTCGTACCGCGAGTCCAACGCCGCCATCGGCAGGCTGATGGGCCGCCACAAGGGCAAGACCCCCGGCACGGTCCGGGTCGGGTCCGTAAAGGGCGCGTACCGCGCCCGCCGCAGGGAAAAGGCCGAGGAGACGCGCCTGCTTAGGGAGGCGCGCGAGCAGGAGGCGGCCGTGCGCAAGAAGGAGGCCGACAAGGCGGCGGCCAAGAAGGCCGCCACGGCAAAGAAGGCTGCCGACGCTGCGGCCAAGGCAAAGGCCAAGGCGGACGCGGCCAAGGCGAAGGAGGCGGCCGCTCCCAAGGTTCAGGCATGATGGGGAGGGTCGAGGCTGGGTGGTGGTGGTGGTGGTGGGAGGCGGCTTGTGTTGGCTGACCTCGGGCTGTAGATATCTCGTCACGTCTTTGGCTAGGTAGGCACCTGTACCTGAGGGGGTTATAGGGAGGTGACCTAGGCAAAATGTACAGCTACTTCATTGGCGTATAATGAAATTTGCCGCGTCTCTACAGCTGTCTTGATTATGCCGGCAAGATGTGCGAAGAGCTGGGTTTAGTGTACAGCTAGCTCTTGATACTACGGAAAGGTATTGTCACCTTTGTAGGCTGCTATTTTTGTATGTGATTATTGTTCTCACTCCTTTATTTTGAAAGACCATCACACCCACTAGCGACCATTTCGACTGGCTGCTAGGTTGAGCAATAGATTCCTATGTCTAGTTCTCGGACATAGGTCTGTCCAGTCCACCCATCACTCTCCAGGTTCGCTAAGCGGACGGCCGCAATCCTACCGCTCGTAATATCAGCTCTACAAAATCCTATGTATCATTCCACTATTGCGATGTTATGTTTACAATATAATACTCGCAGCCCGTGCTGACTCCGGCTGACATCGCCACCTGAACCTCCTTGCAGCCCCAAGATACCTATGTATGGTGTGAAGTGCATGTACGTTACATTGATGTTATTCCATTGCCTCTTTCCTGAAACGCTCCTCGTGTTTTATTCCACTGTTATATCAACACGCCTTGCGGGCTGGTGTTGCGTTCCTGACGATTCCGAACCCTTTATATGCCGTTTCCCTGCTCGCTGGGCCCTATAGCATCCGGAACTATTAATTACAACGTCCTCAGCAAAAATCACGTTTGCAAAATTGGAATGCCCAACGCAGTCTCAGCAAGGCGGGCAGCTTCCACTTGCACAAAGCCAATGCTAAGAGCGCCCATCCCATTCTTCCCAAGCTTCCAACGCTCCCAAGACCCTCTAACCCGCACGTCGAGAAGAAGTATACCCGGGAGAGGATAGAAAAGGGATGGCGAGGCCATCACGACACTCCCTAGATTCGCTCTGGTCCAGTCGCCACCAATGAGGAGGGCACGCAGGAGACCTGAGTGTGTCATGCGCTGCTCCCTTCACCCCTTCACGCCGAACGCTCTCGAGGCGGTAAGCTGGGGGGCGGGGACGCATAGAACAAGGGTACCATGAAGCCCTAGGGCACCATCGACAGGTGTCCCGGCGCCGCGTCCGGCGGCCTGTTTGGGCACCTGCCGGATGCCTCCACGCAAATATCCCCACGGCATCCTTTGGTGAGGACATTAGGAGGCATGTCGGCTCGCTGGGAGAAGCCGGTCGGCTGTCTGGAGCTAGGAGTTATCTTGCTGGGCCCTCGCCCAGCCCGCTCGTGTGTAGGGCATGAGACCAGGAGAGCTCAGTCGCCAACGAGGCTAAGGAGTAAGAACATGGGGCACTTGGGGGCTGCTTGGCGCGCAAGGCGGGCTTTCCGACGAGACCCAACAGGCCTGTCGAGTCCAGAACAGCTGATACTAGTTTTGTTGTCTTGGGTCCGTAAGGAGTGCCTGGATCTCCGCTCTCGGCCCTGGGACCACTCGATAAGCATGGTGCAAACAACATTACTAACCTGAGCATGGGGCAGCGAGTTGAAGATGTGATAGAATGATATCCTTGGCGACCCGGGGAATGTTCAAGGCTTTGCACGGCTCATGTATATCCCATGGGGTTCATCGAGGCCCCTCTCTGTAACCAACAGTTAGACCGAGTGACGACCGAAACCCAGCGTCCACGATAAGGGCTACATGAACAAAATTAGGTACGGCATGGATCGGGTTGTCCGATAATGTGCTGACCTCTAGACTCAAGCTATAACACGCTGTGCTTATAGGTCCCCTGGCCAGGTAAAAACAGGTCATACGGCCATGCCCACTGGAATATACGAATCCTGTCAGCTTTCCCAACTGTATGGTACTTTCGGCATTTGGGAGTCGGGTCCCCGCGTTGCCTGCCGCCCAATGGCGGCTCGTCCTTGGCACTCAACCCCTTTCCCCGCCTTGCATCCCTCCCCGTCCTTCCTTTCTTGGCATCTCCCCGACGATAAACTGCTTACAAAGTAAGTACGTATAAAATGGAAAGCCACCAACCACTGCCCAACAGCAGCCATGGAAGTCTTGAATATTAGATACTACCCAACAGAAGTCAGGGGAAGCCTCGAATATTAGATATTAAAGTCGGCAATTGTAGTGCTCTTGTGCCTCCCTTGATGCCGCTTATCTCTCACCATCGGCTTTCATTCGCTGTCACCACCAACATCGCCAGTGTTCTCCACGATGCACTCATCTCGCCACTGGTGCGCCGCGGCGTTCTTTGTCTCGACAGTGTTGGGCGCTGCGGTACCGTCGCCGAACATCAAGTCGGCGAGAGATGCCGATGCTGCATTCCAGAACACTGCCAGCAGCCTCGTCTGGGACCGATGCCCGTCGCGGCTAAACCAGACGCTGCTGTGCTCCAATATCAGCGTGCCGCTTGACTGGAACGATCCCGGCGGTGAGAAGATAACGCTCGGCTTCGCCAAGCTCCCCGCCAGGGATCCGTCGAGGAGGATCGGCAACTTGTTCATCAGCCCGGGCGGACCAGGCAACCAGGCCTCGGGCAGTCTCTCCTCCACCGCCCGGAGGCCGGGGCGGTTGCACCCGGAGCTCCTGGACCGCTTCGACCTCATCGGCCTGGACCCGAGGGGCGTCGGGCTCAGCACGCCGGTGCGGTGCGACAAGGACGTCTACAACAAGCGCGTCAAGTACTTTGTCGAGACGCAGGCCGAGTACGACGAGATGGTGGCGGGCAACAGGGCGCTCTGGGAGAGCTGCCTGGCAAGGACGGGCCGGCTGGTCCACTTCCTGGACACGGTCAGCGCCGCGCGGGACCACGAGGCGGTGCGGCTCGCGCTGGGGGGAGGCGAGAAGGCCAGTTTCATCGGTTTCTCGTACGGCTCGCAGCTGTACGCGCAGTACGCGGAGCTGTACCCGGACGGCTTCCGCGCCATGCTCCTCGACGGCGCGCTGCAGCACTCGCAGGGGGAGGCGGCCAATGTGCTGATCGAGGCGACCGCGTTCGAGGCGACCCTGAGGCAGTTTTTCGCCTGGTGCGCCGCCGACAAGACGTGCCCGCTGCACGGCCAGGACGTCGAGGCCGCGTTCCACGCCGCCGTCGCGCGCGCCAGGGACGGCGGGCCCGTGCCCGCGCCGGGCTGCGACGGCGTCGGCTGCAGCACCGACGTGTCCGAGGAAGAGCTGTACCTCTCGATCCAGGGCGGGCTGGGCCACACGTCGGACTGGGCCGCCATGGCGCAGGGCTTGATGGACACGGCAAAGGGCGACGCGAGCATCTTCTCCGTCGTGCCGCGCACGGGGGACGTCTACTCCGACTCGGACGCGTACGCGTACCGCGCCGTCATCTGCCAGGACTGGACGACGAGCCGGACGCTCACCGACCTGCGGCACAAGCAGCGCCTCGGCGACGCGGTCACGCCGTTGGTCAGGGGCCACACCCAAATGTACACGCTCCAGGCCTTTTGTGTCGGCTGGGGCGCGGCCGTGACGAACCCGCCGCGACCCTTCAAGTACGAGGGGACGACGCCCATCCTGCTGACAAACGCCATGTACGACCCCATCACGGGCTACGCCTGGGCCGTCGGCATGGCCGAGGAGCTGGGCGGCAGCGCGACGCTCCTTACGCGCAATGGGTCGGGACACACCAGCCTCTACCTGCGCGACGGGGACACGCCGGCGGCGCAGACGGCATATCTTGTCAATCTGACAATGCCGGCGCCTGGAACCATTTTCAGTACATAATTACACCCGGCAGGAGAGTCTAAGGTGGGACGCAGAATAGGGGCTTTGGACTATAGGGGCACGCTTGGATGGGAAATAAGTTGAATGCCGGGTCTTTGGTATCTTTCTAATCATTTTCGAATGCAGAGGCGTACGTCTTGGGCCAAAGATAAGGATGCCACACACAAGCAAATCTATAAAAGGTCTAACCAAGTCTAATGCTACTATTCCATTGACATGTCTCCAAATCTAGCTCCAAAGCTTGAACCAAGGAATATCTTCTTGAACCCCGGCCCTTGGATCTGATCTTCCCGGCACGCATACTGCAAACACCTATGCGTCAGAGCTCTCGCCTGTTCGCTTGTGTCTAAGCGGGTGATGGTTTTGGCCATCCAGAGCCGGCTGTGTCGAAGCCCCTTCTGCGACCCTCTCGGCAGCAAGGTTGGCCTGTTCAGCGAGAGACTTGTCCTCGAACACTAAGCCGGGGGGTATGACAGTCAGCAGAGCCCAAGAGTGCGGCGAGGGACGGTGAGTGAGTGGTTTAGTGGACTAGATTGCTCTTACAAAACGCCAGCTCCTCCAAGGTTCGCCCAGATGTTTCGGGGAACATGAAGTAGATAAAGACAAGCTCAAAGGCCAAGATGCAGCAGTACGTGATCAGGTACTTCCAGCCGATGCTTTCGAGGCCGATGGGGTTGACAAAGGTGGTGAAGAAACCGGCCGTGCGGCTGAAGAGCTGGTACCAGGCGATCCCGCGGGAGCGCTGGGCAAAGGGCCATATCTCGACCAGGTAAGCTACCGGTAGGAAACACAGGAGCACGTCAGTCAGCCTTTGGAGTCCCCCCTAGCAGCAGCCACGCAGAAAGTCCGACCACCTACTGTAGGTTATGGCGTTGTGACCAATGGCGTAGAAGGGCTTGTACGCAAAGATGAAGAACAGCACGGCCCCGTTGGCCACCGGGTCCGGGCTCCCGGCGGCGCGGGCGGTGACGGCGCGCTCCATGGCGACGGTCCAGGCGGCGTAGACGCACAGCAGGCCGCCGGCGCAGACGAAGAACATGGGCCGGCGGCGGAAGCGGCGGGCGAGCAGGGCGACGGCGGCTCCGCAGACGAGGCTCCAGCAGGCGATGGAGAGGTTGATCTGCTGCTTGAAGACCGAGTCGGTGCGGCCGATCATGTCGAGCAGGTCGCCGAGGTAGTACGAGATGAGGGAGCTGCCGCTCCACTGCGCAAAGACGCCCATGGCTGCCGAGACGATGACACGCCGCCGCATGCCGGTCGTGGCGAACAGGTCCGCGTAGGAGCGGCGGGAGTTGTCGAGCTCGAGCTGGATCGTCTTCTTCATGTGCGCGAACTCTGCGCGCACGAAGCCTGAGTCGTGAGAGCCCTCGGCGTGGTACCGGGCCAGGATCTGGAAGGCCTCGGACTCGCGGTTCTTGGTGATGAGCCACCTGGGGCTCTCGGGGATGAAGCTGGGGCATGGGTTAGAGCATGTTCCTTGGTGATACCGGGATAGCGTGCAGTAAAACATACAAGATGAAGGCCATCTGCAGCAGCGAAGGGAACATCTGGAGCCACGAAGGGATTTTCCAGCCGTAATTGCCCTCCAAATTGTTCGTCCCGAAGCAGATGCCAGCCGCCAAGATTTGACCAATGTACTGAGTGCATGATAAAATGTGAGTTTAGGCCATTGCGTAGTCACAATAGCAGGAAGGTGTTCCCGGGACTCACGTATGCCACGTTGAAGAGGGAGGTCAAGACCGCTCGCTCCTTGGGGTATGCGAGCTCGCCGATCAGGCTCGAGCCGCTCACGATACAGGTCGGGATGCCAAAACCGAGGAGCATGCGAGCGACAATGTACATGGCGGCGTTGGCGGAGAAGCCCTGGACGATGGCGCCAAGTACCATGATGGCGGAGCCGCCAAAGATAGACCAGCGCCGGCCGAACCTATCGTTAACCATGCCGATGAAAGGGAGGGACATTATGGCTCCTAGGGAGTAGGCAGCGGCGATGATGCCCTTCAGCTCCCCGGACATGACACCGTTCGGCTTGTCGCTGAAGACTAGACATTGTGAGCAGGAACACGTGATTGGAAATGGGGAGGGATGTTAATGGGATGGGGGAGACCATCTGCTACGAAGCTGCTGGAATACAGCGGGTTGTGCACTCATAAAGTAATCTCGGATCTGGGGTAGGATGCATGTGGATATGCATAGCGGCGTGTGGTTGGGTGGTATGTGGTGTGTGTGGATGGACAGCAAGACACCACAATGATGCCACTTACAAATCCTCCAGCTGGGCACGATCTGCAGGGCGTTGATCATCTGGGAGTCGAACCCTGACGTCAACTCGATGCCCATGCATGTCGGGAACAGCATAAAGTAGAGGTGCCGCAGGTTCGGTTTGCGGTACCAGGGCACCGGGTCCTCTTCGGCGGTGCGCTGGATGATGGGATCGGCCTCGCCAGTCTGCGCACGCAGCGGCGAACCCGCCTTGAGCTGCACCATGCTTCGTTGCGCAAAGGTGGAGGAGGAGGCGTGTGTCTATCCCTCACCCAGTGGCCTTCCTGCACGTCTCGTGGGCCCCTGCAGGGCGTTAGCGGGATTGGCCAATCACTTGCGGCCTCCTGGCGAAGTAACGGGCCAAGAATTTAGGATCGACACCCCCCTTGCCCGACATGCGGGTGGTGGTTCCAATGTGGGGTGCACGTGACATGCATAACCGCCATTCCGGTTAGCCAACGCTTTGGGCTAGGAAACCCAAGCTAGGCATACAAAGATGCAGTGAACCTAACAGAAATTCTGATGACGGGGATGCACGCGACATGACCAACCTTATGTAGGGCTGCTGGGACTGATACAAGCAGCTGGCGGCTGTGGTGGAGGGGCGTGTCGTTGTGGGTGATGATCGCCAAGCATGGGCGGATTCGAGCCAAGGTAGCTTGCATACCTAATCCGATAATCCGACTCTACATGCGGCCGCCGGGACATCGGCTGCGGATCGCGGATTAAAAACGATTCCCAGCTGCTGCCAAAATGCCCCGGCGCCCCAAGTGCCCCCCTCGGTGGGCGCCATCACTAAGCGGCCGCTGGGAAGAGCCCTCGCGCGGCCCCCTCAGCCCCACCTCCAGGCAGCTGTCTTGCTGAACGGGGCTAGCCTGTCAGCACCCGAGATTGATCAATCCCCGCAAACTCTGCACGCCCAACCTCGGCGAAGGCGGCGAGACTGTCCGACATCGACCACCCGGCCTCCCCAATCCCCAACACCCACGCCCGTGCTGCTGTCGCTGCCAGCTGCCGCCGCCCAGCGACGCTACTGCTCACCCTCTAGCGCCGTTTTAGGCCATACGCACAGCCCAAACCGTCAGGTCCCTGAGCCTGCGCCGCTGGTCGTACGACTTGCTGCTACCGCTGCCACTGCCGCTGCACACACACCACATCGCCTTCCTCCAAGCCCTACCCGCTTCGGCGGCTGGGACCTAGCTCGACGCGGCTGCCGACCCTACTGTACCGCGGACGGATTGACTGGCTCTAGCCCGCCATCGGTGGTCCACCCGCTCAGGGGTGGCCCCTTTGCTGGGTGCCGCCCGACCCTGCCGAGCAGGCCAGGAGAGCCCCGGGCTTTGGGGACCCGCCGCCCGAGTCGGTCCGTGACCATCGCTCGTAGCGGCTCGCTATGTCAGCCCCAGCGCCGGACGCCGACGCGGGGCAGGACCAGCATCCGTCTGATGAGGCAGCGGCTCAGCCCGAGGCAGCTGCTGCTGCCTCGCTGGGCCTCGCATGGTGAGTCAGCAACTTTGTCTCTGTTTCCCCATATCTGTCTACATCCCATCCCCTATATGACCTGGCCCGGCCCCCAAGCCCACAAACCGTCCCTGTCTTGATGCCTGGGTGGAATCGCATCCCAGAGGTTTCAACTAGTCTCGCCGGCTGTAATCGACGCCCCGCGGCTGTGGCGTTTAGCCTCTTACGTCACTGCGCTAGGATCGGATGAGGGAGGCTCTTTAGTGGTCAACTACACCGACGCACGTTTTCACTATTTGCTTGCTTGGCCGTAGCTCCTTACTCATCCATTCCCTCTAAACTTGATACAGCAACCGATGCCGCAAGGCAAAGCTCCGCTGCTCCAGGGAGAGACCTGCATGTCAACACTGTAGAAAAGGAGGTATGCGTTGGCAATGCCCTCCTTCTGGGCGCTGGGGTCCCCTGAGGAGTCGTCGGTCCCATCTCGGTCGAGTGGCGAACACGAGTTCGACCTGGTGGCGTCGAGACGTGCCCTAACCATGGCAATCCACAGGCCTCGAGTGTGTTTACGAAGCCAAGCGCGTCAAACCTGGCTTGAAGGGCGGCGCTGTCGAGAACATCCACAAACGCCTAGGTCAGTATTCTGCTGCCTACCGCCTCTTCATTTTCGGAAACGAACCGGCCCTTACGTCAGCAACGCCAACTAGATGCCCTCGATCGCGCTCTCCAGCAACAACAGCAGCAACAGCAGCGCGACCGAGAGGCCCAGCAGCGGAGAGATGGCGCTGGAGGCTGCATCCAGGACTCCGCCGCTCAGACGGTGCTGGCCTTGCTGGCGAGGGAGCTTCCTAAGTTGATCGGCGCCCCGCAGCAAGCTTCGCTGCCAGCCCTCAGCGCGGCTCCCCCACGAAAACGGCCGCGAACAGGGGGCAACACGGACGAGGATGAGGACGACGAGGAGGATTCGCAGGACGGGGAGCAAGCAGCCGCCGAGCACTCATATGATGACGACCTTGCGCTCCCTGTTACTTCTGCGAGCTCCCTGGAGCCCATTGTCGCCAAGTACTTTTCGCACATTCATCCATGGATTCCGATGCTGCATCAGGACATCTTTCGCGCCCAGGTCGCTCAAGCTACCGAGATCCCCAAGATCGAGCTCGTGCTCCACGCCATGATATTCTCGACGGCGAGATTTCTCCGAAATGAGGATCTCGACTTTGAAATAGAATCGCCTGCCTGGTCTTCGGAAAAGACCAGGAGATGGATCATATCCAAGGCTATGGACCGCCTCTGTGTGGAGAGTCTGCAGACTCTGATCATAATGGCATTTACCGACGTGGGTTATTTTTACATCCTAATGCTACACATGTACCGAGGAGTGCCCGCCGCTGCGCCACACAGGTCCGATGCAACTGCTTACGGGAGGGTCGCTCAATAGATCGGAAGCGGAAACGCTGCCAAGGCCTGGCCCATCGTCGGGTCGCTTACTAGGACAGTCGAGTATCTGCAGCTGACTAAGGAGCCAGATGAGAGTGACAGACAGCTGCTATATCGCCCACGCGAGACGCTGCTGCCTGCAAAGGACTGGACCCAACTTGAGGAGAGACGGCGGGTTTTCTGGAATGTCTTCAATCTTGACCGCTTCTGCTCCGTCATGATGGGCTGGAATACGAGCCTGACTGCCGACGACGTGCGCCGCAGGTTACCGTCAGACGGCCTGCTATGGCGCAGGCAAGAGGCCGTGGTCACGCCGTACTTGGGGATCTGGGACAAATCCCGCGGGCGCATTGGTAATCCCATGGCCGTCATGTCGTCCCGGTATCAGGCACCGGACCAGCCAATGATGGAGGCGGACCCCCAGAGCCCATCCAGTGTGGCGATGCCGCACAGCGCAGAGCCAGGTACAGCCCCAGCGGACATGTCTCGAGTGGGCGCGTTTGCGTACTCGGTCGAGGCGACAGAGTCGATGAGCCGCATCGTCAGCTACTTCCTCCAGCAACGCATCAACGTGCACTCCGAGTCCGACATCAACGTCTGGCTAACAAGGTTCAAAGAGCTCGACTTACGGCTCGTCCACTGGAAAATGCTACTGCCACAAAAGTGGAAGGGAGGCTCGGGTACGGCCGGCAGCGCCGAGGGCGTCGGTGGTCCCATCGGCGGACGCGCCCCGATGCTTGGTCGCCACTGGCTGGGGACCAAGATGGACCCGAACCTGACGCTCGCGCATGTGACGCACAACACCTCCATGATTCTCCTGCACCAACTCATCGCCTTCCCACCTGCCAACTGGCCGTTTCGAAAAAGACTGCCGAGCGCCTGCAGCGTTGAAACGTGCTGTTCGGCCGCTGTCGAGATCGCAACCATCTCGCAGAACTACCTCCGCCTGACCCCAAGAACGCTGCCTGTGGCGAGCCAGCTGCCATTCTGTCTTTATGTGGCTGCGAGGATGTTGTTGGTTCACTGGCGCTACGAGCCTGGCAACCAGCTGATGGATGAGTTCTGGATCCTGGTTCAGGGGCTGGACGCAATGTCCCAACGTTGGAACGGGATCCATGTCCCGCGCGAGAAGATGGCTGTCTCAGGACCGGGAACTGTAGGATCCGAGTCCAGCGGCACGCCTTCGCAGCCGCCGCGCCCTGATGAGAATGAGGCCAGTCAGCAGGCGACGGACCTTGCCGCGAGGTTTGCATCCAAGCTACGGGCCTTCCACGGCCTCTGCTACCGCGAACCCAGTTTTAGAATCGACATTTCCAGGCTCACGCAGGAGATGGATCACGACGTCGGCTCGGGCGATGCCCAGGATCCATACTACCCATACAAAATACTAGCCCCCCACCCACCGAACCCCTTCTATCCGCTCCCACCACCTTCGGTCATGGCCGGTGTTCCCAGCGGCATGCCCCCTGCAACGCCTGGACTCAGCACGCAGACGCCACGGAGCCAAATGTCGCTGGATAGCAGCAGCCACAGTTCGAGCGGGTGGAACGGGCCAAACTCGGCCGGGACGCAGCTTGGAGGGCCGCTACCTCCAATCCAGCCGACACCGAGGCTGCCGTACATGGGCATGTTGGGGCATCCGGGCTCCGAGCCCGGCCAGGCATACGGAAATCAACACTCCCCTTCCCCCGCCACCCCATCGGGGCAATCCATCATGGGCCCTGGGGGCAACGAGATTCTACTCAACCCCATCAGCGAGGGCGGCGGTGCAGGTCCCCGTGGGGGTGCCGGTCAGGCGCATCATCAGTCGCAGTCGCAGGGTCACCCGTTCCACCCGCATCAGGGTGGCCCTGGGCTGGCGGGCCACCCCGGCCAGCAGCTGACGCCGGCGCCCATGCTGTTGGATCATTATTTCTTGGACATGGACCGTGTCATTACGTTTGACGATGGGAGCATGTTCTCTTCGAATCTGGACCCCGGAACTGGTTGGTGATTTGGTTTGCTTTGGTCTCTGCCGTGTTGATTCTGCCGCAGATTGTTGCTGGTCTCCTTTCACCTCGCAATCTCTTTTTCTTTAAAGCGTGTGTATTGCGCCTCCTTGTGTACGAGCGAATCCCTACGAAACGGTTCGGTTATTTAATCTTTTAATGTCTTGCATACAACCCAAGTTGAGGTATCCAAGAAACGAACAAGTTAACACAAGAAACACCATCTGGGCACATCTGACCAACGACAAGCAAGAGCATTGGTATAATCTGGGCTATGATCTTCAGATATAGGTGCGCAAAATGGAAAGAGCCGCCGCCTGGGAAAAGCGAGATGTGCGAGAGAGCTCAAGGAAACCAGAAGAGGGGGCTCGAGATGGGAAAATCAGAATGCAAGAAATTATTCACCCCTGGCCTTCACGCGAGGCCCATCCTCAGCAGACGGTTGCCAAATTCGAGTAGGTAGTAGTCTGCGTACACCAGGCCGTGGTCAGCGTACCGCCTCAGGGCGTCGGGGTTGTTGTTAGCGGTGCCGTGCTTGAGGATGGCCTCGAAGGAGCCGCCGCCGCCGCCGCAACCACCGTCGACGGGGCCCGGGTCGGCGTCGGCCACCTCGATGCGCGCGTGCCTGTAGTAGCAGCCGCCGGCGCCGGGGCCCGCCACGGCCAGCAGCGTATGGATGTTTTCTGTGTTTATGTTTACCATTATATACTAATTGATACATTATTAATATTTTATATATAATTGCTTCTATGTCTTAATAGGACGTAGGTGTAGGCAAGAGGTGGTTATTAGGACTTTTTTTTGTGCGCAAG